ACCCACGTGACGACCCCCTCATCCCCCCCTACCATACTCATTACCACCCGTCACCACAAACGACCACCCCCACCCCCTACCCCACTACCATCACTATCATCCTAGCTACAATCACAACCACCTTGCCTTGGCCATCCTCACCACCATCCCATCGCGCACTCCGCTTCCTCTTCCTCCTCGTCCTCCTCCTCCTCTCCTCCAACTCACCCCCATCCTCTCGCCCGACCCCGACACCGCCATCCGTCAACCATCACATGCCTTACTGCCCATCCACCAACCAATACCAATCTCGAGCCACCCAGCCCTGACCCCGCCTCCTCAGCTGCCTCTGCCTCGTCGACCACCAGCTGCCAGCCGTCGCACGCTTGCCCGATCAGCCCACCTTCATCACCACCCAGCTCCTTCCCACTACTAGCTACGCATCCCGCGACCACACCCACGGTCATCACTCGCCCCACACTAGCATCAGTACCAATATCGCCATCATCGATATCCATCCACCTCGGCTCATTTCCGTGTCGACTTGTTTTCCCCCTAGGTGGTTGAGCACGTCCTCGACGTCTCGACCCCGCACACAACCCCCATCACACTCATTGCAAGATATGGCCAATTGGATTTCATTACTGCCGTACTACATATACACACTACGCCCTTGCACAATGTCCAATCCACAGCTGCAGTATTCCAGAATCCGAGTTCTGCCGGCTCAGGCTCAAGCTGTTGGCCCGGTGTCCCTTCGAAGGTGCTGCTGACCTCTCCTCCCGGGCCCATCAACGAGTCCACCGCTGCGCACCGCATCTACGCCATTTGCACAACTACTTTGCATCGCACGCACAGAACTCGTACCGCGGCTCCATGTGGGACCGGATCCCGTCTGGCCGTCGCATCTGTGCAAAGTACGGGCCCCACGCCTCGTGCAGCGGCCGTGCAAGCTCGTCCTCGTCGTTAGGCGGGATGTGCACCACTCCACCAAGCGACTCGCCGTAATCAAATCGGTCCGTCGTCTTGCGCCACATCTCCGTGTTCCAGTACCGCAGAGGCTCCGCTGCCCACATGCCTGGCGTTGGCGCTCCGGGGTACTTGCCGCGAACCAGTGCGCTTCCGGCGTCAATCATGGCCTTGATCCGATCGCTCTCGAGCACCAGCGAGTACGCCCGGTAGTCGCCTAGCCTCTTTGTGCTTGGCTCGCTCTTTTGCCAAGCCCCATACACCGCCTGCTCGTGCGCAAACCACCGCACAACCTCAGTGTAGAGCTCTGGGCTCTGTGGGCGTGGATCAACAAACTGCGCACGCCGTTCGATGTACGAGATGTTGTAGTGCCCAAGGTCCGTGATCAGGCGGTCAAACCCACACGCTGCCGTCTCGTAGAAGAGTGAAGAGATGATGATCACCACCGAATGTGGCGGGAGAAACACCGTGTTGGCCAGTGACGACCCGGCATAGGCCACATAGATATCCGCCTCTTCGCACACCATTGCCTGCTCAGCAATTGAGAGTCGCTCAAACGCCACCACTTGGATATTGACGCTCTTGTTGTACGCGGCGTTGAGCTCGGCTTCGATGGCCCCGATGTTGACAAACTTGCGGTTGTTGAGCCTGTTGACAATGACCACGTTGAGCACCCCGCCGTCTCGCCGCCGTTTCGCCGCCTTCTCTGCCACCTCGGCCGGTGTTGTATCACTCACGCCGCGGAGGAACCCGACAAATCCGTCGTGGATCGACTGGTCGCACCGTGCCGGGTGATCTAGCTCTGGCGATTGCCGTGGCGAAATATTGCACCACCGATCGTTGCTCCAGTACGACCGCCCACCGAGCCCGGTCGCAAGCGCCGGGAAACACGTGTACTGAGACGTGCCTGCCTCTGCCGCGAGAATATCCGGGTCCATCATTGGACTGGATGTGAACAGTGGCCACGCTTCGTTGAGAACTGGCGCCGCCATATTGTCCTCAAACTTGCCCACATGTCGTGCCCGCGGTAGCGCCGAAACGAGCCGAATATGCTCTTTGTCGAGCCCGGGGGGCGATGACGCCGTTTGGAGCCCATGGCCAACTGCCAAAGAATATACTGAGTAGAGCCCATCAAATATCGCGTGCCCGTGCACATGCGGCTGAAACGTGTCAAACAGAAGCGAGGTCTCGTTCTCACTGCCGTACCACGTCACCTTTTCAGGATCCGGCGCATCCGATGCAGGCAGGACCACAACCTCGAGCGGCGGGTTGTGGGGAGGAGAAACGCATCAACAGACACGCACGGCAATCTCGTGTCTCCCGGCTTCTCCTGTCCGATCAGACACGGGTGAGTCGGGATGGTCGCCAGCACATCATCCGGTACAAACGCAACAAACCGCATCCCGAACCGGTCTCGGCTTGGGTAGCTGTGATCGAGGCATACGTTCTCAAAAAGGCACGTCCGGTTGAACACTGAGCCGCCCCGGCACTTCCACCGCGACTGCCACGCCTCAGCCGCCGATGGCCGCGCTACAGGCCTGCGAACCCCATCCGTTGTACTCCAGCATGTTCCCGCGAGCTGACTGTTGTCGTCATGCGATTTCGGCACTATTGGCGGCTCCGCGTCGCCGGCGCACACGCTCTCGCACACCGCCATCCACCCTGGCTTGCGCGACTCGGCCGGTGGGTCAGACATCAGCTGCTCTGGCGGCGGCACAGCGTGCGCCGGTCCGGACTGTGGCTCCAGCTCGTACGGCCCCACGCCCTGTGGATTTGCCTCGGGATGTGTCGCAGCCCCAGGATATCTTGAATCAAGACGCCTGGCCGGCGGCGGTGGTGACGGTGGTGGCGGCGGCGACGGTGGCGTCGGCGGCGGCGGCAAAGGCGGCGACGACGGCGGTGGCAGTGGTCGTGGTCGTGGCCGCGACGGTGGCAGTGGGGGTGGAGGCAATGGCGACGGCAATAGTCCTGCTGTTCTTCCGTCACCCTTGCCCCTGGCTGGTCCGCCGCCTGCGCCAGATGCCCATGTCGGCGGGCTGGTCGTCCTAGGCCCGCGAGCCAAGTACATACTCGCCAGGTTGTGGACAAGCGCGACCGCAATGAAGGCTACCACGCCATGACGTAGTGTCAGCCGCATGTTCCTTTGTACTCCAGGCCTGCTTCACTCCGTTGTGGTGGTCTGGTCACAGCCAAGTACTCAAGTCTTGCGTTGCTCTCGCCCGCCCCCTCTCGTCGGTCGCTGTGCCACGACGCCAGTCAACCTGCCAAACCATGGACCAGGCCGTTCCCCTCTCCTGCCCATCTAACACCCCCCTACCAACATCTGTGAGATCAACACCACGCACGCCACAACCAACGCAATTCAATGATCAAGCATATCTGGCTTCGGCCGCAGCCGCTCCCCATGTCCAGTGACCTTCCTTAGCTTGGGCGACCCAACCAGCCTGGACCGCGGCGAGACACCGTCCGGCATGGTGCTCGAACGAGAAACCCGCCGGCCAGTCGACATCCGAGGGCTGACATTATCAGCAAACCGCGGACTGCCAGTCGGGCTCGTTCCGCTCTCCAGTCCACTCGCCGTCAACTCGTCCACCGACTCCGGCGAGGCCAACCGGGACTGTCGGTGCCGGCTGCCTTCACGATGTGTCCGCCGGCGCCGGCGCCGGTCCGGGTGTGAACCACCGCTGCCACAGCGGGTATCTGGCACGCGCGGCTTGTGTCGTGACCGCCGCGAGGATCGGTTCCGCGACCTGCTCCGCGACGCCACCGGACTGGTGATGTCCTCGGCCACATCGCCCTTGCGAGTCGAGAAGCTGGCCATGGGCAGATTCTCACATGGCAGCAGCTCCGCTGCTTTCGACGCCGCCACTGCTCGCAGGCTCCGTGGCTTGTGACCAGGCGCTTCCCCCAGTTGCCCGTGCGATTGGGATCGGTCAAGGCGCAAAGGAGCCGAATGGATCGCCTTGCGTGCCTGGTCCGCCTGGTGGCCTCGCCGCCGATGACTGCTGTTGCCGCGTCTTGTGCGGCTGTGACTGCCGCGACCGTGTCGACTATTGTCTTGCCTCGGACCTTTGTGTCCGACGTCGCGACCGGTGTCGAGTCAACACGAGGCGTCGACAGCACGTCAAACAGAGAGTCGCTGCTTGAAAACGACAACGCATGCTTTCCAATCTCGCCGCTCGTAGTCTCCATCTCGACCGATGACGCTACGGGCGCCGAGCCAGCTGCGACGACCGCAGGGAGTTGCGGCAATACCTTGGATGTACTGAACGACTTGGCAACCGAGCGATCGGGCTTTGTCGACACCGCCGTTGCTGGCGATGACGACGATGACGATGACGACGACGATGACGATAATGATGACGATGATGGCGATGACGACGATGACGATGACGATGACGACAATGCCTGTTTCGCCACGCCGTACTCCTCAGGTTTGACCATGTCGCGCCTCCGCCTCCGGGCAAGGTGCAGTGTGAGCAAGCCAAGGCATGCAACCACGAACAACACCTGGAGAATGACCGAAATACCAAACAAACGCAAGTCTTCCTCATACAAAAAGTACATAAGCTGACCTGACGATGCCAGACCTGCAGTAATCGACAGCGTTGTCTGCAGCTGCGAGCGGAACGGATTCAGCAGAGCCACCAGCAGCATGGTTACGGCAAAGTTGATGATGGTGGCAAAGAACCGCGTCCCGGTCCGCTCCAGAAGAACAGTCTCGGTCACAAACGCAAAGGTCGAGACAAACTGCAGCGCGCGGAACCAAAAGAACGGCGGCTTGAGGCCGTGAAGGAGAAAGCCGTACGACTCGAACGCCATGTCGATGACCATCATGTTGAACGCCCGCAGCGCTCGGAACATGCTGATGCCGGTAAAGAACATCCAAACTGGAAAGCCGCAGCAGATCGTGACCAAAACCACCCAGGCGAGAGCCGCCACGCTCACATGCTCACCCTCATAGCACACCACCCGGAGCTCGGCGTTGAGCCGCAAGCTGCCGTCTCCCACCCGGACGCAGTAGAGTGCATGTGCTCGCCGCTCGGCGCGTCTCTCAGCGTGTCAACGCCGCGGCGGTGCGGCACTCGACTACACGCCAGCCGCTTCAATGAATCATCATTCTTCCTGACTGATTCCCCGCTTGCGGGCATAGCCCGGCGCTCGAGTCCTCGCGTCGAGCAGAGCTGTCGTATTGAGCGACGACCCGAGATGGGTACTGGCGTGAGAGTGAGAGCCAAGGAGTAGCGACTACACGCCAGCCGCTTCAATGAATCATCATTCTTCCTGACTGATTCCCCGCTTGCGGGCATAGCCCGGCGCTCGAGTCTGTAGATTGCCACGATGCCGGCGCGGCCTCGTGTCCTTGCCTGATGCCGAGCGCTCTCCGTCCTTGGACTCTTGCTCTTCGTCCTCTGAAGTCGTCGACACCGAGCTAGAGCCAGAGCTTACTGACGGGAGCACAACGCTGAGATGCGAGACGCGGCTAGCGGCGAGGCACGAGTGGGTCCGCAGCCAAACCACACCAATGAAGCAAAGTCCCGCAAAGCAGATGAGGCCAATCGTGCCGTAGTAGAGACTGGTGAACGAGAGCGCGCCAACGGTGCACCCTGGTTTCACCACCTCGACTTCAAAGTTGATGATCGAGAGCACCCGCACAATGGTGGGAAAGACCGGTGACGAGAGTGACGTCGAGAGGTGCTGCAAGCCGACCTTGCACACGGTCACTACCTGCTGGAGGACAACGAGCACGGACACGATCAACACCAGGCTTCTCGCCGAGAGCACAAACAGCGCCACAAGGACCACCAAAAAGTAGACAGAGGCCACCAAGAGCATCAGTGTCACCTCTGTCCGCACAGTGTCATCGGCTCCGCACGCGCGGCAAACGCCATACTCCTTGTAGTAGTTGGTTGCGCATGTGGAGCAAAACTCGCCCGAGAAGCCCGTCGCGCACTGCGCCGTGATCCGCTGCCCTGTCACGTCCATGCGCGGCGGATACTTGTCACGCTCACCCAACGCGCCGGGACACGCTGCAGGGACCTGGCATCGTGTCGGTGGCACGCCCTCACCCGGCGACCAGTAGCCTGCAAGCGGCCAAAACCGCGTGCCCCCCGGGCAGAACGCGCCATCAAACTCGCTGCACGACCGGCACCGCGAGCCGTACCATACAAAGCCCTCGTCGTAACACTGATGCTCGACATAGGTAATGAGCTTGGCAAGCTGGACGCTTCTGCTTCCCACAAACAGCTCCAGCGGATGATACATGGTCTTGTTCGACGCCACCGAGGTAAACTTGAGCGTGTTGGCGTCGATGGCCTGCGCCACGATCGACGCCGTCGTAACTGGCGCGTCATCCACAGGCGCGGCAAAGACAGGCATAGTCATGGCGTATCTTGCGCCGACTTCAAACGCAGGCACCGCTGATGTTGCTCTTGTTCGCCGCAGAGTCATCTCCACCCCACCAGCATACGGCGAGACGGACGGGGTAAGCGACCACGAGATCGGATCTGGGAGCTTGGACTCTGCCGATGGTGGCGGAGGACTTGGCGGTGGAGACGAGATCGGCGAGGGTGGCGGAGGAGGAGGCGAGGGGCTCGGCGGCATAGGCGGGCTTGGTGGCGGCGGCCGTGGTGGCGGCGGAGAATGCACGCTTGGAGCAGTCAGACAGCTCCCAAAACTCGGACCAGGTACGGTGCTCTTCATGAATCCCGACGCGCAGCTAGAACACGAGCCGTTGGCTGCCACAGTCTCGCAATCCACCAACACATCACAGCGCACGCCGCTGTATCCCGGCGCGCACCCTCCAGAACAGCTGGCTGGTGCTCCTCCGGCGTACGTGCAAGCAGTCGCGCTCCGTTTGCAAAACGTGTTCGAAGCACATCCGCCGTCCATCGCGTTGTCAAAGCGGGAGCCACCGCCACAGCGCACATCCGAGTTGTGCACCAGGACACCAATGTTAGAGCAGACGACTGTGTTGGACACACCGATTGTGCCATTCGATCCGCTTGTTTCGAACGCGCCGCCCTCGAGCGCAAGGTTGCCAGACACAAACGAGTTGGTGATCTCAGGCTCGGCACCGCTCTCGACAAAGACTCCCGATCCAGAAACTGCAGTGTTTGAAAGCAGCTGCGTGTCGTCAAAGGTAAACTCGCCAGACTTGATGTAAACCCCACCGCCAGTTGTGGCTGCCACGTTGTTGGTGATGGTGACGCCCTCAACCAAAGTCCCAGACAGCCCGCTTCCAGAATCATCGAGGCACAATCCACCGCCGGCGACCGCAGAGTTGTCGGAAACAAGCATATCGCGGATTTCAACCTCGGCCTCGCCCCACCAGGCCATGCCTCCACCACACACGCCGGCCGAGTTGCCAGCAATGACTCCGGCGTTGAACGTGCCCGACACATCATCGCCAGAAACACACACGCCACCGCCACGGACCTCTGCCACATTGTTGCTCACATTGAGCATCGCTGACTGGGACACTTCCGTTTCGCCGACGATGTACAGACCGCCTCCAGACCCACCCGCGTAGTTGTCACGCACCTCGAGGCCACTCCCGTTGATGACAAAATGGTGGTCGATGGTCGCAAACACTCCGCCTCCATCGCCGCTGGCAACACACCCAGTAATGGTGGTGCCGTCCATCTTGGCTCGCTTTGAACCAGAGTAATACACACATCCTCCCTTCGATGCTGTCGAATCCCGGACTATCGTGTCGATCAGCGTGAGCTGTCCCGACGACTGGACCCGGATGGCGCCACCTCGGTAGGTGGCAAAATCGGTTCCGACCAGCGAGCAAGACTCGACGACCACTCGTTGAAGCGTCACATCAGAGCTAGCGCCAACAAGCATGCAGCCGCCGCTCGAGTAGTTGGCATTGGTCAGCGAGCCGCCGCCCCGGACCGTCAGATCCTCGATGACAAACTTCGCTGAAAATCCAGATGTCGGGAACGAGAACGCACGGTGGCTCGAGTGCTCGCAGTCGATGATCGTCACTCCGGCACCGGCGCCAGCCAGCGTCACAGCCGCACCATCCCCGCGCCCAGTAATCGGGACTTGGCACCCACGCCATGTTCCAGCAGGAATCGCCACTACGTCACCGTTGGCCGCCCCGCTAACCGCCACGACAATGGAGATCACTTGACCACTTGGAGCCACGTTGATTGTCACTCCCCATGCTGGCACCGCCAAGGCCAAGACAGCCACCAGGACAGCACCACAAAGCACCCGATACAAGGGCAAAGAACGTCTTGTATAACCACGCCCTCCACAACGCATGGGCTTTCAGTAAGTCTATTCGGACGGGGAGAGGTGCTGCTGCGGGCAGTAACGCTGAGGGTGGTGGCTGTACCAATTTGATTAGTCTCCTGCCGCAATCGTCACCGTCTCGGCAAAGGGCCAATTAAAGCTGCCACAATCGTTTGTATCACGGCCCAACGCAACGCAACCCCATCTGTTGCCTGCCAAGTGGTCGCGCCACTGGCCCGACAGCTGGAGATCTCCTTCCATTGACTGCGCTAGCCTTCAGTCTCCGCGCATCGTGCCGATTCGCACGGTGACCCGCATGTAGATGTGCTCCCGCCGCGCACTCGCGTACCCCCCTCCCCGATCAAGGTCGGCGTCGTCGTCAACGGCCCACCCCCACCAATCGCCTGCATGATTTGGTTTCTTCATTTGCTGCCCAAGCTGCGCTACGTGGTGTGTTCTGAAAAGAACACAGGTTGTTGTTGTTGTTGCTGTTGTTGCTGTGAGCTTGCGCCCGCCAGCGACACCATGCTTAGCCACCGAAGCCGTAGAGGGTGCGGCCCTGGCGCTTGAGCGCGTAGACGACATCCATCGAGGTCACGGTCTTGCGGCGAGCGTGCTCGGTGTAGGTCACCGCGTCGCGGATGACCGACTCGAGGAACTGCTTGAGGACACCGCGGGTCTCCTCGTAGATGAGGCCGGAGATGCGCTTGACACCGCCACGGCGAGCAAGACGCCGGATCGCGGGCTTGGTGATACCCTGGATGTTGTCCCGAAGAATCTTGCGGTGACGCTTAGCGCCGCCCTTGCCGAGGCCCTTGCCACCCTTACCACGTCCAGACATGATGAGTTGAGAGTTGAAGTATGCCACTGATTAGAGTGGGCGACGACGGATGAGTGCGCCGCGTTTTATACCGCTGGCGCGCCCAAATTCACCGCATAACTGCATATTTCGTGCCACCCAGTCTCGCCCCGCCACAATCAATCTCACTCAATTAACCTCGACCACACACCACGACGCCACATGTCCCCATCACACACACACGCACGCGTTTGGCCCATCTGCACTCACTGACGCTACACACGCACGCATTCCACATCCCATCCAGACTCGTTTCGCTTTGCTATCTGTACTAATCGGGTGAAACATAAATGTATATCTCGTGCCAACTGTCCAATCCCCCAACTCGCCCAGCCGCCGGACAACCAACAGTTCGACTGCTCGTCAATCGATCCCCCGTCCTCATCACCTCACTCGCCGTCCTCCGCACACACATGGCAGACCCTCTCGCGAGTGTCCACCCGGTGCAGACCGTGGCCGAGACCCACCTGCGTGCGGTACGGCGGCAACAGACCCTTCAGTACCTCCGTGAGCTCACCGAGGAGGAGCAGCTGGAGCGCGAGCTCATCACCGAGCTCCACCGGCTCAAGTCCTCGCTGGCAGAGTCTGTTCCGTTCCTCTCCAACCTCGCCGGCTGGTATGCTGGTGCCTACCGTACGCTCTTGCCACCTTGCATCTGCACTCGCCGCACATGCGTCATCACTCCCACTCACCCGCCGTCCTCTCCCCATCACAGTCGTCGATCTCCTCGTCACCGCCGTCCTCAAGCCGGCCTGGCTCACATGACCCCCTCTGTACCTACACCTCCCTTTCTGCATGCCCAATCGCCATCTCTTCTACATGCAACATGTCTCGCTACTAGTCTCCGCACCGCCGTTCACGCTGACTGCAGCTCGGACCATGCCAAGGTCCCGAGGCGCCGAGGCGCCGAGGCGCCGAGACCTGAGACGCGGCTGCTCCTGCTCAGCCCAGCGTACCATCGGACCACCATGGCTACAACTCATATCATTCGAGATCCTTGCATCTCAATATCCGTTTGTCGCCACCGGTGTAGTCGCCTCGTCGTAAAGCCGCCACACCGCTCTCCCCCACCCTCCCCCTCACCCTCACCCCGCCGAATGGACTACAGCCATCCGTCGCTCTCGTACTCTCGCGCGTCACCAGAGGCATGGCACTCTAGAGTAAGCACATGGCAGGCAGAGTCTGACCGTATTGACGCCCTCACCTCGTCGGTACTCCTCCGCTCCGCCTCGGCTGTGCGCCAGCACCGCGTGCCTGTTACCGCTGCCAACGGCGGCCTTCCCATCATTAACACCGGCGCCCGGCTCACCGCCGAGCTCGCTGCTGCTCGCGAAGAAGCTCGCGCTGCACATGCGCGTGCCGATGCTGCTGAAGCTGCTGCTGCCTCAAAGATCGCCGCCGCTGAGGCTGCTGCCGCGCTCAAGGTCGCTACAGCCCAAGCCGCCGCTGCCCGCGCCGTCGCCGATGCCCGCGCCTCGGAGACAAGCGCCCAATCGGCTGCCGCTCGCGCCATGACCGCCTCGACAGCAATGCGCAAGAACCTAGTCGCTGCCTCTGAGCGCAACGTTGCCATGGCCGAGCGCGTCGCCGCCGCAGAGGGCATCCAGGCCGCCGAGCCCGAGCCCGCGTCTCCACCCGCGCTCAAAGCAACGACTCCGCCGCCACGCGCGTCAGTCGTCGACATCCTGGAAGATCGACTGCAAAGCGCACTTGCTTCGGTCCAAGTGTGGAAGCGAACCGCTCTCGCCCACGAGCGTGACGCAACCGCTCTTCGCGCGCGACTGCACGAGGCTGAGGCTGTCATCCACGCCGCCGCGCCTGCTACCGCCGACATCGCCATTCAAGTGACTCCGAGCGCATCATCAGCTGAAGTTCAAGCGTCGCCGTCCTATGCAACCGTCGCCGTCCAAGCCTCAGACGAGCCCGCCAGCCCACCGCCTCGCTGGGCAAGCGAACTCGACCCGAGCGCGCTGACGCGCCGGGCCGAGGACGCCGAGATGCGGCTCGAGGCTGCGCTGCTTGAGATCATCAACCTCCAGCGTGAGAATCAGTCTCTCGACGATGCCCATGCCACCGCACGAGCCCAACTTGTCGAGCTCGGCGGCTTTGCCTCTAAGCTCGAGCATTGGGCCCGTGACCTTGCCTGTCAGCCGCCGCATCAACAGTAACGCCACTCGCCCCACTTGTCTCTCAATCCCTCTACATTTATATATCCCCTACTCCCTACTCCCACAATGGACGACGAGGAAATGCTCAGCGGCATGGCGACTCACTTTAGTGGTGGCTACGGCTTCCTCGGCCATTCATCGTCGGACGATGAGCCGGCTGCCGATGCCGACTCGAAGCGCGTCGCTGTCGATGAGCTGGACATCGGCGACTCGGCTCCGCTAACTCTGTCCGGGAGTCTCATCAAGATCCTTCGCTCTCGTGCCACCGACGCATGGGAGCGGCCACGGCCAGGTGCGCTCCTCTGGGCCAACTGGGTCTTGTATCGCGCGAGCAATGCCGACGGCCTCTCGCCAGCTGCTGTCGCTCGCAACCTCACCGCCACCGACTCGACAGACGACACAGACCCTCTAGCCTGGGAAGAGGCAGCTCGTGGCGAGAGCTCGCCGGACCGAAGCTGGCGCACTGAGAGCCAGGCTCGCCTTGCCCTGGTGGCCGCTGTTGAGCGTGCCCGCGCCACCGAAGCTAGCCTTCCTGAAGGTCTGCTTGTGCTCGACGCAGGCCTGCTCCGCACGCTCGGCGGTGCCCTGCTGCATGTCGGTCTGGACTCGATGGTCGCCGGTGAGTGTGCGACGTTTGTGGGTGCCGCAGGGCTCGGTCCCGATGCTAATGACAGCGGTGACCTGCTGTGGCGCGCTGACGTCGAACTGGTGGCAAGCGTCGACGTCGTCCGTGTCGGCATGCACGCCCTTGATCCGACCCGAGCGACCAAGGACGCACTGGCGTGGGGCCAGCCACACCTTTGGACCGAGACCCTGCCGAGCTCTGTCAGCGATGCTGCTCTCAAGTATGTGTTTGAGCCGGCCGAGTCGTTTGTCTCGCCGGTCCCGGGCCAGTCAGTGCGGGTGGCCGTCGATGGCGAGTCGACCCAGTTTGCCATCTCGGACGGAAGCCGCGAAGACGACCTCGTAGAGTACACTGTGTGCACCATGCGGCTCGGTGAGGCGTGCATAGCTGTCCAGAGCGACGGTGACGGTGGGCTTACCTGTGTCGCGATCCGACTGTCGGACGTCGACCGTGGCACGCCGAACCACGAGCTCTGCCCGCAGTGCAAGCTCGACGCGCTGCAAACCGCCAAGACTGTAGGCAACACATACTTTAACGCGCAACGATTCCGCCGCGCCATGCAAGTCTACGAGGCTGCTCAGTGGCTCTTTGCCTCATCAGACGCCGAGTCCATGGACGCGCCCGCTCGAGCTGCCCGCGCCCGGCTCGAGGCCGCGTGCTACACCAACGCGGCCATGCTGCACTTTCGCGCCGGCGCGCACCGCCCGGCAATCTCTGCCGCCACCCGTGCGCTCGACATCCGCCGCAAGATCCGCGCTCCGCCCGATGCTGTCACGCCCGCCGTCCTCATCAAGGCGCGGCTCGTCCGCGCCCGCGCCGCCCTGTGCATACAAGACCACGACGCAGCCATCGCCGACTGCGAGGCTGTTCTCGAGCTTGATCCAGGCCACGCTGCGGCTGCCGCCCTCGCCAAGCGTACTCGCCGCCGCCGCAAAGCCCATCGCGCCGCCACAGCCACTCTCTACGCTCGCATGGCCTCGGCCCCGGCTTCGACTCCGTAAAGCACCTGCGCTCGCACACTTTTCGCCGTCAGCCCAACATGTTCGGTCGCCTGCCGCTCTTCTGCGCTCCTTCGCTATACTTTGCGCCGCCGTTCGCGTACCGCTACCCGATGCCCATGCCGGCGTATGGGTACTATCCTGTCCCGAACCAAGGGGCCATGCCTACTCGCTCGTTCTGGAGTGTGCCGCCTGTGTCGTGGGTCAGTCCGGGTCACCCGGCTCCTTCCGCCACTGCCACCACCACCGCCACCAGCGCCGAGCTGACGCCAGACGATGCCGAGAGTGTGGCCGAGGTGCTCGACTTTTGGTTTGGTGACGGCCGCCTAGTTGAGCCTGCCATCAAGTACGATGTGTGGTTTAAGGGCGGCGAGGCTATCGACGAGGCCATCAAGTCCAAGTTTGGTGGAGCCGTGTCGGCCGCGCTCGCCGGCGGCCTGGCCTCGTGGGAGAGCAATGATGCCGGCCGGGTGGCCAAGCTTCTGGTACTCGACCAGTTTACCCGCAACATGTTCCGCGGCTCCGCGCAGGCCTTTGCTGGCGATTCCATTGCGCTGCAGCTGGCGAACGACGCCGTCGCCGATGGCCTTGTCGACCGCGTCCATCCGGTTGTCGCTGGCTTTGTCCTCCTCCCGTTTGAGCACTCGGAGTCGATCGAAGACCAGGGCGTGATGGAGGAGCAGACAGAGCGACTGGTCGAGCGCGCGAAAAAGGACGCCCACCCGGATGAGGTTGTCTCGCTCTGCGAGAACTACCTGCAGTACGCGATTGACCATGGCGACATTGTCCGCCGCTTCGGCCGCTACCCGCACCGCAACAAGGTGCTCGGCCGCGAGAACACACCCGAGGAGGACGAGTACCTCAAGGATGCCGAGACGTTCGGCCAGTGAACATGCGCGTTTACAGAAGCGGTTCTAGCTAGATGCGCCGTCGTAGCGCGGGTTGGGGGCGATGGGCATCGAGTTGGAGCCGGTCCCACCCCCGCCCGACGCCGACCACTTGCCAACCGAGAGTGTTGCGCCCCGCGAGGCGCGCGACCGGCGGTACGAGGCTGCACCGCCTGCGGCACGCGGAACCGGCGCGGCCGCCCCGTCGATAATCATAGGGTTGGCCGCCGAACCGCCGCCGGTCAGCCGGCGCAGCTGGGCCTTGGCCTGCTCGGCCGTGTCTGCCGGCTCGTCGTCGAGGTGGCCCATGAGCAGCTGCACGTGATTGGCCTTGATGTTGGGACAGTCAATGGCTCGATGGCCCGACTCGTTACACCGCGGGCAGAGAAGCTGCGACTGTGTGAGCGCTGCTGCCGAGACATCAAAAGCATCCTCCGGAACCTCAAACTTCGGATGGCCGAACGGGCAGTTGGGCCCGTCCGGGCAGAACCCGAGCAGGTAGTTATCGCACGCCCGCTTCTTGGTGTGCTGCTGCGGGCAGTCGCTACCAAGCCTGCAGAATCCGCGCCGGAACCACGGGCACTCGGTGTTGGTCACCTCGGGCGCCAGATGTAGGAACAGGCAATCTGCGTTCGAGCACTCCTACCCTCGCAGCGCCACCATCAGTCGCAAGTCGTCCGCCGCCGCCCAACCACAGACCCCCCGTGAGTACACACATCCACACATACACACACGCGTGTCATCCATGCGCACACACCTCCTTCACATCACGTACGTTGTACAGCTCCCAGAACTGGCAGCGAGGCATGCGGTCGAGCGAGAACTCGTGGAGGTAGGTACAGAGCTCAGCACCGCGCTTGCAGAGGCCACGCAACCAATGCTTGCAGACAGGTGCATTAAGCGCAGCACGCGAGTGCGAGTCGGGACATGACCTTCCACGGAAGCACTTGCCCTTGGCAAAGAGCGGGCAGATGCGCCCTCCAGACCTCCGGATACGGTCTCGCTCCTTCTCCTCCGAGAACTCGTCCACATACAGCCGGTACCCCACAGGCGGATTGGCCGGTACAAACCGACGACTCCCAGGTGCAGGTGCTGCCATCCCTCACGCCCTTCTCTATACCCTTAGAGACACGTGTGCGCTTCTCGAGCGTCTCCTCCCCCCCCCCCCTCGCTGGTTGCATCCTCCCAGGGACGACCTTCCGGCCTCCCCAAACGCGATCACGATCACGATCGTCATCGCAACAGCGATCCCGATCACGATCACGCCCACCCCAACCGCCCGCCCCCCCCACCAAACCCCCCCTCCCCACATCACGTCAGCCTTTCCACCTCTCTACTCTCTCCCCCCTCCCCCACCAAGCTACCACACCAAACCTCCTCCCTTCCACTCTCCCTCCGCACTTCATGTTTGCCCTCACCTCGTCGGCACTTGCCACTGCTTGCCGCCGTTCGCTCTCCACCGCCGCGCCGGCCCTCGCGTCGCTGTACAACCCAACCGAGGAGCACGAGCTGCTCCGCCAGACGGTACGCGTCAACTGCCTCCCTGTCACCCCGCCTCTGCTCGCTCGTCCACCACTCACATCACGCTCACTCCACGCCCACTTTGTTCGTGTCATAGGTCCGCGCCTTTGCTGACTCGGAGGTCCGCCCGCAGGCGCTCGAGCACAACCGCGAGGAAAAGTTCAACCTCGAGCTGTTCCGGCGGCTGGGGTCTGAGCTCGGGCTCCTTGGTATTACGGTGCCCGAGGAGTACGGCGGCTCTGGCATGGATGCTGTTGGTGCGGTGATTGCTCATGAAGAGCTCTCTGCTGCCGATCCGGCCTTTACCCTCTCGTACCTGGCCCACTCGATGCTGTTTGTGAACAACCTCGCGGTCAACGGCTCGCACGAGCAGAAGCTCAAGTACCTGCCCAAGGCCTGCTCGGGTGAGTTTGTGTGCGGCATGGGCATGTCCGAGCCTGCTGTTGGCACCGATGTGCTCAACCTGACGACGACAGCCCGCGCCAACGACGACGGCTCGTGGACGCTCAACGGTGCCAAGATGTGGATCACCAACGGGACGGTGTCCAAGGATCGCGAGCTCGGCGACGCCTTCCTGGTCTACGCTCGCACGGCAGAGGGCCCCAAGGGCATCTCGCTCTTCCTTGTCGACAAGGGTATGCCCGGCTTTGAGCCCGGAGCCAAGATCGAGGACAAGCTCGGCATGCGCGCCTCGTCGACCTCGGGCCTGGTCTTTGAGGACGTCGTCGTCCCGGCCGACGCCCTCGTCGGCGAGGTCAACGGCGCCACGCTGTGCATGATGCGCAACCTTGAGATCGAGCGCCTCACCCTCGCCGCCATGTCGCTTGGCATTGCTCGCCGCTCCATCGAGGTCATGAACAACTACTCGACCGAGCGCATGGCCTACGGCAAGCCGCTGCGCGAGCACGGCCAGATGAAGGCCCACCTTGCCAACTCGTACGCCGAGTACATGGCCGGCCGTGCCTACACCTACGAGGTTGCCTCGCGCCTCGAGCTCGACTCGTACGGCAACCAGCTCGACACCGATGGCGTCAAGCTCTTTGCCGCAGACATGGCCAAGGACGTCGCCGACCGCGCCATCCAGGTCCTCGGCGGCTACGGCTACGTTGGCGAGTACGAGGTCGAGCGCCTCTACCGCGACGCCCGCCTCATCTCCATCGGTGGCGGCACCAACGAGGCCCACCAGAACAACATGTCCAAGGTCATGGCCCGCATCCAGCAGTTTGAGTGAGCTCTGCCTCGTTCTGCCGGTCAGGCCCGTCAGTCATTGAACGCGTGCCTCTCCTCTCCCCCGCTCCCGCCTCCACTCGACTACTCAGCCCATGGCTGCCGCTCCCGAAGACGCCGACTGGGTGGCCCCGCCGACCTCGCCTGCCACCGAGCCTACCTCGCATCGCGACAGCGCAAGTGCTTCCCCCTCGCATCCGCGCGCCCCGCAAACGTTCCTGAGTGGGGCCCTGCCTGCTGCTCCGCCACCGCAAGTCCCTAGTGTGTGTACGTCCCCGGGGAGAGGAAGAGCTCGGCGGTGCGTTGATCAGAACTGCCGATCTCAGAAAAAAGCCGTCAAACTCACTCTCCCTTGCCACCTCCCACGCAGCGCACCATGTTGCACATCTCGCCACGGCGCTCATATCCATTATCGCCAACTCGCCACACAAGGCGTTCCAGAGCCAAGCGCTCGAGCTCATTGACGCCATGCGCGGTGAAAGCCAACCAGCCGATCTCCCGCGGACCACCGTTCTCATCACCCGCCTCACAGCCGCAGCCGAGGCCGAGGCGGCGTCCGCAGCGGCGCGTCGGGCGCGGCGCGAAGCTCGTGCATCGGCCAAGCGCGAGGCGTCATGTACAGCCTCGACGCGGAAGCGCAAGCGGGCTGCGCACAACTGAACAAAAAGGAAGACATCACACGAGTTCAATCCATGACTACGACGCCGGTCTGCGGCTGGAGGCGAGCAGCGCGGTCGGGGATGCACTTGCACCCGCATCCCGTGGGACAGACCTGGATGGAGCCGTCGAACCAGGTGGCGAGGCAGCGGACGTGCCCGCCATGACCGCACTTGAGGCAGGCCGAGGCGAGACCGCGCATGCCGCGGCGGCACACTCCGCACTCGAGCATAAAGTGCGACTGCGGACAGGCAAAGCACTGTGGCGCGGCCGAGACGACGACCGGATCATGCGGGCAGGTGTTGGCGAGCATGACGCTCGAGCTAAACGGCGCAACCTGGGCCGCCAGAGTCACAAACTTGGCGACCTCAGCACGCTTGTTGAGTAGGCCCCATGCATGAAGCAGCCGGCAGTAGCCGAGCCGGTACGCATTGGCGCGGGCCTCGAGCGGAGCATCGACAAAGAGCAGAGCGTCGCGGGGCATGCGCGCGGCTGAGCCGCCGAGATGGGCTGCGACAGCGGCGTGGGCAGCGACTGCCGCCGCATCGGCCTGGGCAAACACGCAAGAAAGGACCGCGAGCGTCTGCACATCACCAAGCCCCGCGTAGTGATCGAAGAGCGACGCGAGCGTGGCCCGCGCAAACGGGTGGACTGCCCACGGCACGCCCGACGCACTGCTGCCCAGCCGGCAGAGCGCGCCGGCCAGCGCCCGTGGCGTGTACGCGCTCAGCATCTGCGCCGCCAGCTTCCACACCCGGACCAGGTCCCGCCGCTTGGCTCGGGCCGCCACGCCGGCATTGGCCTGACACAGTGCCGGGAGCGAGGCACGCGATGCGTCGACCGCATACTGCTCGGCAAGCGTCGGCGAGGCGAGAATGAACCGCGCCGCAGAAGCCAGCCGCACCCGGGTCTTGTGGTGGACCTTGGCCTGGCCGGTGGCCCGGGTGAGCGAGACCTTGGCCGAGAGCGACGGGCGCGACTCGAGGATCGATGAGAGCACGTCGGTGGCGAGCACACCGCCGGTGTCGGAGACGTGCAGCTCGCGGCCTTGCTGCTCGAGCTCGAGCGAGAGCGAGAGGTCGGACCACATCGCCGGCCAGCACGTCTCGGCCGACCGGCTGCCGTCGCGACCGGGCTGCTGGGCCCGGGCCCGACCAGAGGTCGGCGAGGTCGGCGACTCGGGCTCGACGTCGTCGTCGCCAAGCTGGTTCGCCGGATTGGAGAGGCGGAAGAGCGACGGGTTGAAGCAGTTCCAGAACACAATGGTGCCGCGCGGACCAAAGTACGCTCCGCCGAGCCGCGGACAGACAAACTCGGCGGCGACGACTGAGATCGACTCGTTGCCGCCGGTGTGGCCCCGGCCGCCGGCCTCGAGCCCGCCCTCACCGTCGTGCAGCGCATGGTTGGCCTTGGCCTTGGAGAGCAAGTCAAACTGGGTGGCAATCTCGGTGACGGTGGCGTGCAGACACGGCATCGACTCGCGCTCGCGCATCTGGATGAGCGAGCCGACCAGCTCCTTGAGCCTGATCTTGACGTCGGGCGTCGTCTCACTCGACCGTGCCGATGAAGACGCCGAGAAGAACGACCGCTGCACAAACTCGAGCGTCGGGCCCTGTCCGGATACGAGACCGGAAACATGAGCCGGACCCGGAGCTCGATGGGCGTCGCCGGCGCGCTTGGCGGCGAGATCTCGCTCGAGCTTGTTTGCGAGGTAAAGGTGAGGAAGACGAGGCCGGCACCGTAGTTGGCCCTGTCGAGCGAGGCTCCGTCGACCGGGTGCTGCTTGAGGTAGACCACTTCTTGCTCGAGCGTGGTCAGCTGCGACTCGGAGTCGACGCGGAAAATCGGCGACGCCGCCGGCGAGCGCATACCCCCGCCAGCCATCTTGGATGGAACCCGGAGCGCAACCGATGGCGGCGAGCCGAGTGCCGGCGGCGATGATGCCTCCGAGCCGGGCGACACGAGCTCGACATCGCGCGGCGACGGCGCAGCTGACGGGGACATGCCGCCGACAGGCACCGCGAGGCCCGGGCTGGAGCTGGTCCCTGTGCCAGCGGCATTGGTCGCACTCGCGCCCGTGCCAGCAGCGGCCGCGCCTGCGGCACCGACACCCGCCAGCTTATTGAGCCGCACAGCCGGCGAGAGGGGGCGGCGGCTCGGGGTGTGACCGACAGAGGCAAACACGTCGTCGGAAATGGCCCACAGCCGGAGCTGCGAGTCGGACGACCACGAGAGCAGCTGGTAGGTGGACGAGTCGTAGGGCGAGAAGCGCCACACAAAATCAGTGGGCTGACCGCGGACAGAGGTGGCAGCAAAGGTGTGCGAGGGCGAGCGGAGCGAGGCGCGCGACCAGAGCTTGAGGTCGGTGTGGGTGGAGGAGGAGGCGGTGACAAGGCCTCCACCAAACGGAGTGTACTTTGCGCGGCGAATGGGCGACGAGCTCTGAATGTAGTCGATAAAGTTCTCCGGCTTGTTGACGTCCCAGAACTTGACGAGCTTGTCGAGCGCGCAGGTGACAAGCTCCGAGCTCACGTTGTACGACCAGTCAATGCCGAAGATCTGCGACTCGTGCGCGCGGATGACCCGACAGGAAGCGACTCATTGCGCATGTCCCAGATGCGCACAAAGCCGGCATGGGCCGACGCGAGAATGTTCCCGTCGTGTCTGTTCCACGCCAGCTGCGACACGCCCGCCCGGTCGGTCCGGTACGAGGTGAAGGCACGCTTCTCGGTCGACGGCTCGCGGATGTCCCAGATGTAGATGTACGCATCTGAGGCACACGAGGCGAGGACATGAGCCGACTGAGCTTGCCACTCGATATCGTTGACCGATCGCACATGCTTTGAGAGCTCTGTATGCACGCGGGTATCCCCATCGGCTTCCTCCAGCTGAGCCACATCCCAAACATAGACCTTATCGTTCGAGGTACATGCCAGCAGCGAGCTCTGAATTCTGTTCCAATGCAGCGTGCGGACATCATACTGATTGCGGAAAGAAATGGCGGTGGTAGGCGAGGTAAGGTCTTCCAGATCAAGAAGAAACACTCCATTGAGTGTACCAAAGGCTCCCACCGTGTTCGTCGCGTCGACGCCAATGGTCGTCACATGCAGTCCTTCAAAGTGGATACCCATGGACTGCCGCCATGGGTCGTCCTCTGCCATGGTGTGTGTTTGGAGGGGATGGAGGGTGTGTGTGTGTGTGTGGGGTGGTGGTGGTGGTGGTGGTGGTGGTGGTGGTGGTGGTGGTGGTGGTGGTGGTGGTGACGTGTGAGTGGGTAGGTAGGGTGGGTTGGTTGTGCCTTGGTCGGCTGTGGCAGCCCGGCAGCTCGTGGCAGTGGTACGAAGCTGCGTGTTGGTTGATCGGGTTGTGCCTGGCTTGCCGGAGGGATCACTCTTGGTTGGGAAGATTATGTGCGTGTACGTGCGTGCGTGCGTGCGAGTGCGTGTATGTGTGCGCGCGTGTGTGCGTGTATATACATGTGTGTGTGTGTATGAGTGTGGTAGATCAGGTCGGGATAGGGGCGAGCTGGCCGACAGGGCTCGTGACGCTCTAGGGTCATCTACACTGCTACAGAGAGACATCCGTCACTCCCGGAACCGCGACAATGTGCTTCAGTACTCAATGGGCCGCCGGCCACCATGGCGGCCACCATGGCGGCTACCATGGCGGCCACCATGGCGGCCACCGACCAGACGATACTGCGTACAACCACCATCCCCGCATCTATCCACATCCATCCATTCGCTGTCCACATCGAGCCCGTAGTCTCATCAGGCCGATGCGCCCGTTGCCGTCGTCGTGGTCGTCGTTCCCGTCATCATGCCAGCAGCCTCGGCCTCGGCCACAGCTCTTTGAAGCAGATCCATAAACCGAGTCGATCCGTCACCATTCCCTCCACCAATCAGCTTCTTGGCGCCTGCAGTAGCCTGATACACCTCGGGCACCTTGGCCTCTGGCGTTGTCTCGGACTCGAGCTGTGCCTGCACACGCGTCCACCCTGTACCCAAACGTACGCATGCCTCACGTAAGTCACACCCCCTCCTCTCTCCCCCCCTACTATGTGGTACGCTCTGTCGTGTGCGTACGCTGGGACAAGTCGGCTGACGCTTCGGCTGCGTTAAAGGCCATGATGGAGTTGAGTGGTACGACAACTGGCTGGTCGCCGCGGCTAGCTACACGCCACAGTCAGCATACACAACTACGGCTCAGAATACACATCTTCATTTCATCCGTTATCAGCAGAGCGGACAAGGGTTAGCGATGACGGCTTGCAGAACTTGCCGCACCGATCAGGGCAGGCAAAGTAGTGGACTCCGCGGAGGGTGCCGTTGGAAAAGCCTACCGGTTGGTGGAGCTCGATGCCGACCCAGATGCCCGGGCGGTGGGTGGCGCCGATGTACCGGACCGTGCCCTCCTCGCCACGGACAGACACGACGTCGCCGACCTTGAACGCATGCCCCGACGCGCCCATCGACGACGCGAGGAGCGACGACTCAAAGTCCGGCAGAGGATCGAGCTTGAACGGCGAGAGCACCGCGACCGGCGACGAAACACGCCGCGACGGCGTCCGCTCAGCCCGCAGCTTCTCGATCGTGCGCGCCGAGCCCGGTGACCGCGGCGGCGTCCGTGCCTGCGCGGAGAGGTCTTCCACCTTGAGCGCACCACCCGAGTTGTTGCGTCCGCCGTCAGCTGCCGCCATGAACGACGTCACGTCAAACGACGCGTTCCCGTGCACGCCCGCCGCCATAAACTCGGCCAGGTCGTCGTCGCCCGCGTCCGCTCCAGCGCCCGGCACCGCATCGTCCGCGTCGTCAAGCTCGATGTCGTCGAGTAGCGCATCGAGGTCGTGCTCGTCCAACAGCCGCCCGTCGCCGTCGTCTAGGAGCACCGTGTCTGAGACTGCAGACGTCTCGACCTCCGCCGCGAGCACCTCGTCGAGCAGGGCGTCCTCGTCGTCGGCCTCGTCTTTGCCCTTGTCCCGCGGTGTCTGAGGAACGCTGCCCAGGTCGTCATCGCCCGAGCCGGCAAGCAGTGCGTCGATGTCGTCGTCAATAAGCGCGTCGAGCTCTTCGTCCGCATCCAGCGGCGCGTCGAGATCACGCTGATGATCCACGTCGAACACGTCAGCAGCATCAGGCACCACATCGAGGTACTCTTCCTCGAGGTCGAGCACCTCGTCGTCATGGTCGTCGCCAAGATCGAGCAGATCGTCGTCGCCTTGACTCTCACCACCAGCCTTGCCCTTGCCCATGCCGTCGTCGTCCGAGTCCGAGAGCACAAACGCGTCCTTGCCGCGAGGCGCGTCCTTCTTCAGCGGCTCTTCGACTGCCTCGCCCGGCGTCACCATCGACTCCAGGTCCAGCAGCGAGTCGTCGACGTCCGACGACTCGTCGAGGTCCGCCAGTACCGGTGAGTACCGGTCGGCGGCCGTGACCTCGAGCGCAGGGTCCGGCTGTGGAGCTGCCGCTGCCGGCGCCGGCGTCGGCGGTGTCACCTCCACCTCCACCTCCTCGTACTCGTACTCGTATCCATACTCATACTCGGGCTCTGGCTCGGGCACACCATCACCCGCGAGCTCGTTCTCCAACTTGCGCGCGAGATTCTCGTTGTCAGTGCTCGGCGGCGGCGCCGCCCGCCGCACCGGGCTCCGCGACGCCGGCGAAAACACAATCCGCCGGTGCGGCGCCGAGTGCGGCGACTCGGCTGACGCGTCGAGGTCGTTCAACTCCGACATTCGCTGCGAGAGCACCGAGTCGAGCTGCTGCTCGAGCTCGCGAGTCGCCGCATCGTCGCCGCCAAACTCAACCTCCCCGCTCCCCAGCTGCTCCGCCAGCATCGCGTCGAGCTCCAACTCGATCGCAGACTTGGCCGCCGAGTCGTGCGCGGTCATCGCATCGAGGTCTGCCGCCAGCGCGTCCGTGCCCTGCCGACCCACGCCAGCGCCAATTTCGGCCTCGAGTGCCGCCTGGGCCGCTTCGCGCTCGGCTGCAAACGACGCGTACTCGGCCTCAAGCTTGCTGTCTGCTGCTGGCGCGCGGGCTGTGGCAGGTGCCCGTCCGGGCGCGTGCGCGACACTTCCCGCTGCATCAACCACCGCAGTCGCCGACGCCGGCACCGCCGACTCCCAGGCCACCATCGCAGGATTAAAGTACACTGCCGTCGCCCCACTGGCGCGCGCCGAGTACTCGAACCACCACGACGCGTCCGACTCTTGCACGACATGCCCACCGACCGGCGGACCGTCCCACGACCACACACCTGAGCACGGCTGAAAGTACATGGTGCGCCCGTCACCGGCCGGCGCAGCATACTCGTACCACGAGCTTGCGCTCGACACAAACGCCGCGGTCGGGCTCGGCCCGGCGCGGCGCGACGGCGAATGCCGTCCACTCGCAGCAGATGCCTTGTAAAATGCCGAGCTCGCCGACCGCTTGGCGCTCCAGTATGCCGGCGAGTTGTCCGACGGTGCTGGAATGACCAGCGGCGTCGCCATGAGCGCGTCGAGCGAGGCCGGCGGCGAGTCGGACTCGACTCTGCCCGCCGGTTTGTCGTAGGCAAAGCGGGTCGGCCCGGTCCCGAGCGGCGCCACAAAGACGTGCCCGATCTCGGCCTCGAGCGACATGTCATACTCGAACCACACCTCGCGCGATCCGAGCTCGACCAAAATCGGCGTTGCATCGTCGACAGGCTCACTCGGCGCCAGCCAAGTGCAATGGCCAAGCACCGGGTTGTAGTACTGCGGGTGTTGCCCATCCCGGACCACATACCACACGTTCGGATGGTCGGCGACAGAGCAGGTAAACGCAGGCTGCGCCGACTGGCCCACAAACTGCCGGCCAGTCAGCGGCTCAAAGAACGACAGCGATGAGAGCGCCGCCGTCGAGAGGTCGTCGTAGCCCGAGTAGACGTAGGTGTGCCAGTTGATGACCACCGGCGCATTACAGGCAGCAACGGCTGACGCCGGCAGCAGCGTGTCCGGCCGCGCACCAGCAATGTACATCGGCGCCTTGGTCGATGCGTCCCACAACTCAAAGAAGACTCGCGCCGCAAGCGCCGGCGTCACATCGATAACTGCGGCGCGGAGAGCGGCAGGCGGCTCGGTGCCCCGGAAGACAGCCGCAGACGTGTCGGAGTTGAGCGTGTACGGGTTGACAAAGACAAACGAGCCCGGAGCCGCAGCATCGGGCAAGCGGTAGAACCAACGGGTCGAGGTGACTGCGGCTCCAAGCGCCTCGCGAGAGTCGAGTGCAAACGCCCGCGGGCCCGCAAGAGCCCCTATGTGGCGCGCGGGCTCGCGGAGTGCCGAAAGTCGCGCCCGCGCCGACGCGTTGATCTCGCGCTCAAGCGCCGAGAGTCCGTCATCGCCAGCAGCTGCAGCGGCGGCTGGCGACGACCGGCGCACGATGGCGTCGACCGACGCGACTCGCGCAGCCGACGACGCATCGAGCTCACGCGTGAGCGCGTCAGCGGCGGCGGCATATCCTGCGTAGCCGGCATCAATGGCCGACTGCAGCGGCGAGAGCGCCATGTTGTTGTCCTGACAGTGCGCGGCGAGGTCGGCCTCGATAGCCGACTGTTCAGCTGCACGTCGGGCGGCCGCGGCCTCGTACTCGATGTCGTACACAGTCGTCTCCACCCGCGAGTGGTCAGCGAGGACCACGGTCGTGCCCGGCGGCGGGTGCTCCTCACGGCGCTCGCCAGTCACCGGGTTGTAGTAAAACTTGAGCGGCGGCGCAAGGTCGGCCGGCTCGCCGTGCTCAAACGAGAGCTCGGTCGACGGCGGATGCGACTCGTACTCGAACCACCATTCTGAGGTGATGTCCTCCACAACCTCGGTGGCGTCGTCCGGCAGTGCGTATGCCGACGCCATGCGCTCGCGGTTAAAGTACAGCGTCTTGTCGCCAAGGTCAAAGGCGTAGTACAGCGCGTCAAGCGGCGGCGGCGGCGGGCTCGGCTCGCGGGCAGCCAGCTCGCGCGCGGCGAGCTCGGCGGCAGCCTTGGCGCTTGCGAGCTTGGCCGGCGACGGCGAGACCTTGGTCTTGACCCGCATCCGATGCTTGATCCGCTTGGTGGCGGTCGTCGGCGGGCTGATTGGCGGGCTGGCGGGTGCACTGGCCGGCGGAACCGGCGATGCATCTGGCGACGGAAGCGGAGCTGGAGCCGGCGACGCGTCCGGTGACGGCTTGTCGACACCCGGTGGCGCGCGGTGGATCTTGTGTGGCTTGCGCGGAACAGCGATGACCACCGCGTCGTCCTCGGGTGTCCGTGATGTGGCCTTCATCGTCACTGGATTGTAGTAAAACGTCTTCTTCTTGTTCTTCGACGGGTAGGCAAAGAGCCAGTCGGGGGAAGCTGGAATGCAGAGCGCCGACTCTGGCGGGGCCTTCCAGCTCGACTCTTGCTTGAGTGGCTCAAAGTAGGTGTGTTCGGAGCCGAGCTCGCCCTCGTACACGTAGTAGACTGGGGTGTCCGGGTCGATGAGACGCGCACCCGGCGGAAGGGTGTTCCACGACAGCTGACCGGTGATCGGGTTGTAGTAGTAGTTGGCGCCCTTCTTCTTGTCGTGGTTGAGGGTGTAGTACTGGTGCATGGAGACAATTCGCGACGAGTCTGGGCGGCTCTCGCGCTCGGCGCCAGAGAGTGGATCGACGTAGAACGGCGCAGCCGCGGCCGCATCCCACGCCTCGTGCCAATACGGATCGTCACGAGTTGCATCGTCGCGCCGGACAACCACGGCGGACGGACCGGGCTTGCGGCGCGAGTGCTTGAGCGTTGCGGCGTCGACAAAAACCCACCCGCCCGACTGCAACGGATAGCGGTAGACCCAGGGCCTCGTCCGGAGCTTGGAGGCCTTGCGGAGGATGGCGCCGTCGGCAGGCGGGGCGGCAACAGGCTTGGCAGTCTGAGGCGGAGGAGTGTCATCACTAGACCCAGCCGAGCTGAACCGCGTTGCCGCCTTTGACGCCGGCGGCGCCTGGGTCTCGGGCCCGCCCATCGACTCGTCGAGCGGCGGCAGCGAGAGCGCCGACTCGTCGATGCCCGGCGAGGAAGCACGCTCGGCACGAGGGCCGGGCTGGGCCGACTTGGGCGGGCGACGGGTGGAGGCAAGGCCGGGGTTGCGGCGAGCCTGACGTGGCGCCTGGCGCTTGTTGCGCGGCGAAGGGCGTGCAGCCGCAGGCGCAGGCCTGGGCCTGCGCTTTGACGGCGAGGCGCCCCCGGCAATGTTCCAGCTCGACGCCGGTGAGGCAGATGCCGACGACCCACCCTTTCCGCGGGCAAGAGGGGAGAGTCCTTTGGGCGACGCGTGGTGATGTGCGTGGTCGTGGGCGGCCTCGACGTTGCGGGTGGCGTCGTACTCGTGGCGAGCACGCTCGAGCTGCGGCTGAAAGGTGAACTGGCGCTCCGCAAACTGGCGGGCCCACTCGCGCTCCTCGTTGCGTTTGGCGATGTATGCGTCGACGCCGAGCTCAAACGACGAGTCCATGGCCGCGGCGTGGGCGGTGATGTTCGGCTTGAAGGTGCACTGCTGAAGCTCGAGGAGCTCGGCGGCGCGCTTGATCGCGTCGGCCTTGGCTTCGTTTTCGAGCAGCTTGAGCTTTCGCTCTTCAGCCGCAATCTGCATGCGCTCAAAGACCGGGACGTCTTGAGTGTTGAGCTTGGAGAGACGCTTCGATTTGGACGAGATTTTCGGCTTGAATGTGCACGCGGCGTCGGCGTCCTCCTTGATGCGACGGAGGCGCTCGGCCTTGCGCTGCTGCGCAAGCTTCATCCGCTGAGTAAACGGCAGCTCCGAGATGGGTGCGCGGCCCTTGCGTGGGACTTTGGATGGGCGGCCCGACGGGACAAGAGGACGCGGCTTCGGAAGCGCGGCCTCGGTCGTTGCCTGGCGGGCCTTGCGGCGCTCGAGATCATCCTCGAGACGCTCCATAAACGGGCGCGCGTAGGTCGACTGCTTGAGAATGCGCTTGGAGCCGGAGGAGAGAGCCGGGGTGGGCGGCTCAACCTCTGGTGGCGGGGCGTTGCGCGAGGCCTTACGGGCAATGACGGCGTCGCGGACACGGTCCTGGAACGTGCGCTCGTCGGCTGACTGCTGCAGGATGGCACGAGTGCCGGAGGAGAGCACCGGCTTGCCTTCGATGGCGGCGGCAGCGATGAGTTCCTGCTGTCGGCGGCGGCGACGGGCCTCGGCCTTTTGCGTCCGCTCCAAAAACGACTCGCGCGCGAGCTTCTCCTCGTACTTGCGCGCCGAGGCTGTGCGCTTCATGGCGGGCGCCTTGCCGATAGCATCACGCTCGGCCTGGATGCGTGCCTCGCGATTGATACGCTTGGTCTCTTCAAACTCACGGTCACGGCGAACCTTCTCCTCCCACTGCTCCTTGGAGAGGGTGCGGTGCGGCTGGAGCTCGACAAAAGTGGTTTTTGGCTTGGGCCGGATGGGGCGAGCGCGCGACGGCGTGTCGACGTGACGCTCCGGTGAGAGAATGTTGTCCAGCTCGGCGTTGAGTTCGACAAGGTCGGGCATGGCGTCGGGCGGTGGCGACGAGGCCAGCGCCGCAGCCGCAGCCTCGTTGATCGCGGTTTCGGACGCTGACGGCGCGAGAGTCGGGCTCGTTGCCGCCTCCAGCTCGAGTGAGTCGGCGGACGACGAGTTGCGCGGCAAGTTAATCACGAGCTCGCCATCGTCTTCGGTGATGGGGGGGTGGGTCTCGTTGTTGCACTTTGCAGATGCGCCACTATCGAGCTCGGTATCGTTAAGGATGTCAAAGTTGGTGGGATCGGCATTGTTGCCGTCGAGGTCGATGGATGTGGCGTTGTTGCCAACAGCGGGCTCGTTGAGGTCGATGGAATCGAGATCAGGATCAGCCACCATATCAGACTCTTGATTAGCATCAGCGTCAAATGCCTCATCCACGTCCGCAACACCGTAGTCATTGGCAGACACTGCGGGTTCAGGCTCGGGTTCGGCCACAGGCTCGGGCTCGGGTTCGGCCACAGGCTCGGGCTCGGCCACGGGCTCAACTTCGGCCACGGGCTCGGGCTCGGCCATGGGCTCAACTTCGGCCACAGGCTCGGGCTCGGCCACGGGCTCGGGCTCGGCCACAGGCTCGGGCTCGGCCACAGGCTCGGGCTCGGCCACGGGCTCGGGATCGGCCACAGGCTCGGGATCGGCCACAGGCTCGGGCTCGGCCACAGGCTCGGGCTCAACTTCGGCCACGGGCTCGGCCACAGGCTCGGGCTCGGCCACGGGCTCGGACTCGGCCACAGGCTCGGGCTCGACCTCGGCCACGGGCTCAACTTCGGCCACGGGATCGGCAACAGGCTCTGGCTCCAAATTCCTTTCTTCCTCCGCATCGTCAAGGTCCACAGCAGCCTCAGCCTCGCGAAGAAGTGCCTCCATCTCGGCATCGTCGTCATCGACCTCGAGGTCGCCAGAACCGAGATCGAGATCGGCAAACTCGTCATCGTCGCCAACGTCTGGCTCATCCGAGCCCAGATCAAAGTCGTCGCTCCCATCGCCAAGGTCGAAATCATCGCTGTCGCCCAGCCCCAGGTCGTCACTACCACCCAGCCCAAGGTCGTCACTGTCGCCCAGCCCAAGGTCGTCGCTGTCGCCCAGCCCAAGGTCGTCGCTGCCACCCAGACCGAGATCGTCGCTGCCGCCACCAAGATCGACATCGTCAAGTCCGAGATCATCCAGATCGTCGAGATCCACGTCATCTAGCACCTGGTCCGAGTCGGAGAGCTCGACGTCTGCGATGAGGTTGTCGACATCATCGAGGCCGGCATCGAACGAAAGGTCAATATCCTCGTCCATACTTTGAGAATACACGCGACACAGAGCTACAACCGTCACACACGGTACCTACACCCTCCCAGACCACCACGCTCTCCCATGTGTCAGTCGCTGTTGCACTTGGACTGCTTCTCGGCCTCGCTCTCTGTTGGCCAACCAAAATTTGACGTCGGCGCCACACGGCCCCGCCACCGACACCCCCTCCACCTCCGCCGCCACCGCGCACAACCCTGCAACCTCGACAGCATGGGACGGGGCACCATAGCAGTGGTAAATGTGTATATCACCATGTACATACCCAAAGTGTGTGGTCGCCTGTGCTTGGCGTGCAGTGTCGTGCGCTCGCTGGCCGTCTTTGCCAAACTCGTCGCGCCCTGCCGTTGATGCCTCTCGGCACTCGTTTTGAATCGGGCGATGGGGATCCAGATGGACCAACACTTGCCGATGATGACGATACTCTGAGAGTATGTGATGCGAGTGCGGAGGGTGGAACAACGTGAGTGTGGTCGGAGGAGGGGGAGGTAGAGCTGCATGTGATCGCGTGCATTAGCCGGCCATGCGGAGCGTCCTTTCTTCGCCCTCCCCTGGCGATGCGCAAGATGCGGTACAGCACAGAGTCGGCTCGGCAGCACGAGACATTACGGCCACATGGGATCGTTGATCCTGCTGCCACGATCAAGACGGCCGAGCAAGCTTCGCCCGCTGGTCCGCCCAGCCCCAGCCCGGTCGCACTCCCGAAGCTCTGTCTGCCCTGCACTCGGTCGACACCACCCGACTCGTCAAGGCCGACCATGTCACGCCGTGCCGAGTTTACGGTCTTTGTGGGCAACATCCCCTTTGACACTACTGAAGAGGACATTCGGAGGGTCATGTCCAACGCAGGCCCGGTCAAGTCGGTTCGTATTCAGATGGACAAGTACGTTGTGGCTGGCTGGCGGGGAGTGAGGCGAGATGCCAGTTTTTGGTGCAGAGCGCGGGCGCGTTGGAGACTTGGGGTACGGGGATGAATGACTCACATGGGAAGTTCTATGGCGTAGGGAGACGGGTAAGGCAAAGGGGTATGGCTTCTGCGAGTTTTATGATCGTGCTACAGTCGAGTCGGCCCTGAGGAACTTGAAGGGAGTGGAGGTCGGCGGCAGGGCCCTGCGGCTGGACTACGCTGAGAAAGACACTCGCAAGTCTGCGCCGAGCGGCGGGGGCACGGGCGGTGGGCCTGGACCGATGACTGGGTCCAATCAAGGAGCAGTCCTGGGGGGTCCGCGGCGTGGGCCCGAGATGATGATGGAGAAGGCGTCGCTGGAGCAGGTTCTTGCTGTTGTCGAGTCGATGACCTCGGCGCAGCGGCGTGAGTTTGTGGCCAAGATGCGCTCGTTTGTTGACATCCATCCAGACGACGCTCAGGCCGTTCTGCGAGAGAACCCCACGCTGTCGTGGGCCTTTGTGCAGATGCTCACCCTGGAGGATTTGATTCCTAACCTGGACGTCGACGCCTTTGTGGCTAAGGAGGCTGCACCGCGCCCGCCGCAGCCGCAGGCCGGCCAGCCGGGCGCGCCTGGCCAGATGGCTGTACCCATGGCTGGCGCCCCGCCGCCGCCGCACACCCAGGGTATGCATCCCCCGCCAGGTGGCGCCCCGCCGCCGGGCCCGCCGCCGCAGGGCCAGCCGGGCGCGTTCAGCACTGCCGGCCTCCTGCACATGCTCTCCAACATCAACCCGCAGCTCATTCTCGCCACCCTCGGTGAGGAGAACACTGCCATCCTCACAGAGGTCCTCTCCATGACTCCGCAGCAGTTTGCTGCCCTCTCGCCTGACCAGCGCGCCGCCATCAACGCCATCGAGCAGCAGCTCTCCTCGCTCTTTGCCAAGTAGTCGTGCTCTCGCGCTCCGCTCCGTAATGAACCACAGCGTGTTAATCCGCCCACAGAACCTCACCTCGCTCGCTGCGCCATGACCAGCGCGAGCGCAAACTTGTGCCCGACCGCAAGCTCCTCGAGTATGCCGCTATCGCCGTGCCGGAGCACCCGGAGCTGCTCGCACGAGACCTGGGCTGCTCGGCTTCCATCGGCGCCAATCACCAGGCCCACCGTTTCGAGCGCGCGCGCTGCTTGCGAGGCCCCTGGCGCGAGTGTGTCGTCGTCGGCGATGATGGTCTCATGCCACGTCGCCGGAATCCAGGCGGCGAGCGAGACCTCGGCTGCTGGAAAGGTGAGCGACTCTATCGGCGGTGAGTCGGGCAGCGTTGCCGCAAAGTACACGATAGCATATGCGCGCTCGATGGTGGCCAGGTGGGACTCCCAGACTCCGATCGGGGTCAGCATCTCTGGCGCAATCTGCAGCCCGGTCTCTTCGTAAAGCTCGCGGACAGCAGCGCAAGGCAGAGACTCACCCGCATCGACGCGTCCACCGGGGAACACCCACTTGAGCGGGAAGATTGGGCCGGTGTGGCGGCGAGTTGCGAGGACTGCGCCCGCCGCGTCAAAGACTAGCACCGCGGCGCACAGCGCGACCGGTGCGACATCCAAGACAAACCCAACCGTGTCGAGCAGACACGCATCTGCAGTGTGGCCATGCGAGAAGAGCGGCTGGCTGTAGTGGCCGAGCGGGAGCGGACCAAGCGCCTCCGCCTCGCCGGCCCCACCCTCGCGCACAATTGTAGTCCTACCGGTGTCGACGTCGTGGACGAGCTCCACCGGAACGGTGCAGGTCGCCACACCCTCGATGAGCGATGCCACTTGCTCGGCGTCGGCACTCGGGAGCTGCGCACCGAGCAAAGTGACAAAGCACGCTCCAAATGCTGCTACGGTTGCGTCGGCAAGCGAGGGCCCGATCGCGAGCTGCGGCCGGCCGGATACATGCCTGTGGCGGGGATACTGTGCGACCGTCCACTCGAGTCGCTCCGGCCGCGGGTCGGGCAGCGGATGGGTACTCGTGTATGCGTACGAGACGGTGTGTTGGGTAGTCACCACGATGCTGAGCGCACGCGTCACCGTATTCTGGTCCAGAATCCGGCCGGGCGCGGCAAAGACGTTGCCGCGCAGAAAGTACTCTTGACTTGACGCCCACGGCGAGTCGGCGACATCACCCTCGGCGGCGTCGAGCTCGGCGGGCGTGAACTTAGTCTCGGTGAGAAGCAGTGGCTCGACAGCGGCTAGCAGATCGTCGATCGAGGCCTCGCGCGGCAGAGCGCGAATGGCGGGCGCGAGGTGGCTCGCCAGCCACTCGACCTTGAGCCACGAGTCGCCGAGAACGCCGTTGGAGAACGCCACATGCTTGCCTCCGACCTTGCAGAGCAGCGCGCGCTGACCATCAAACGGCTGCAACCGTGATCGCGAGCAGTTGGAGAGTGTGAATGCACCAGAGTCCGGGTTGTACGCGTCGAGGAGCAAGATGTTGAAGCCCGAGTACGCGGCGCCGAGATCGAGCTCGACCCGCGGATCTGCCGTCGCCCAGTCTGGATGGGCCGCCGGATCGATGCCAGCGGAGCGCACATACTCGAGCAGAGGCACATCAAGCAACCGGCGAACAATGTCGCCGCGCGAGGCGCGGACGTCTGCCGGCGGCGGCGGAAAGTGTTTGTTGCGGACGTTGGTCAGCGCTACCAGCGTGCCTGTCGCCCGATTGAAGCCCATCCACGTCCCGCCCGCTTGCACATCAAGTCCAGCCACGATGTTGGGAGGAAAAACGGTGCTTTCGCTCGGTTCTGGCTCATTGCTCGACCTGCCAGCTTCGTTCCGCTCCGGCATCGCAGCATACGCCGGCTGGCCCAACTGCGGCGGCAAAGTGGGTCTGTCCGGGTCTTCGTCACGGAGATGGACGACCACAGACTCAAACGAGCCTGTGGCCTCGATCAGTGCAAACAGAATACACATGACCTGACCGGAGGTCTGTGTGTGGGTGTGTGCGGTAATGCGAGACAAGTGCTGTATCAGTTGTTGACGTGCAAGGCGCGCGGGGGGGGGGGGGGGGGGGGGGGGGGGGGGGGTAAGCCTGCGTGAGTCGCACTCTGCTTGGACATGACTGGACATGATGGCTGCCATGGATGGTCGTTCGGTCATTCATTGTTCATCATTGTTCATTCGTTCTCCCGTTTGGTCCCTCCATCCGTCCATCCATGGCACTTTTGCCCAATCGTTCGTTGCCGAATTCGGACACCGACATTCTCTCGAAACCACAACCACCACAACCACCATTCACACCTGCCATACCCACGGACAGCCACAGCCAACGGCCACACCACCACACCACCACTCTACCACACCACCACTCCTCAACTATGGTACGCCAAGAACCCCCTCCCTCCCCTCCCCTCCCCTCCCCTCCCTCTCCACTCTCCACTCGCCCACTCACCTCTCTCGGCTCCTTGCTCAGGCGGCGTCCAACGCGGTGACGGTCAAAGTCCACTTTGTGGACGGTGAGTATGAGAACTTGCAGGTGACAGAGGACATCACGGCGGGGCAGCTGCGGGACTTGTTTGCTATCAAGATCGGAATGCGACCGGCTGATGAGGCAGAGATGGGGCCCGAGTTTCGCGGGCCCGAGTGCTTCTCCATCTGGGTCTGCGGCGACGACGTCGAGCTCGAGCTCTCAGACGAGGATCGGCCGTTTGAGTTCATGTCGGGGTGGAAGAACCTGATGCGGCAGTACTCGAACGTGCTTGATGAGCCGTGGTACCGCGCCAAGCAGGCCAAGCGGAAGAAGGGCAAGATCAAGGAGCCGCCGTGCAAGATCTTCTTCCGCACTACCGCCCTCCTCGCCAAGCCGTACGAGCGCAAGTTCCCGTCGCCGGGCAACCCTTGGCACCCGGCGGTTGTCGACACGCTGTGGAAGCAGGCGCATCAGTGGATGCTCAACGCGTACTACCCCGAGGCCAAGGCCGACGATGCCGTCGAGCTCGCCGCCCTGTACATGCAGATCAAGTTTGGCGACTACAACCCCAAGCTGCACAAGGTCAACTTTGTGCCGATGAAGAAGCTCATAGCCCCGCGGTTGGCCAAGAAGAAGAAGGACAAAGAGTGGTTCAAGCTTGTTCAGCCCAAGCACGCCGAGCTCGCCGGCAAGGACAAGCTCATCTGCCAGCTTCTTTACCTCCAGCGGGTGCGCCAGTTCAAGACCCACAACGCCACCATGTTCGAGGCCGTCTACAACTACGACCGCGAGTCCATGTTTGAGCACCCGTTCGAGTCCGGCGTCGTCCTCGGTGTCAACGCCGACGGCCTGTTCATGGTCGACCTGCTCAAGATGAAGTACCTGTACTTCTACCACTGGTCGCAAGTCAAGGACTGGGAGTTTACCCAGGAGTCGTTCTCGTGCGTCCTCACCGAGTCGGAGCCAGGCGAAGACGGCACCTACGAAGACAAAACCCACGTGTTTTTCACTTACCAGGGCGAGCTCCTCGTCGAGCTCATCGAAGCCGCCCTCGATGACCTCGACGCCGAGGCCGAGCGCGTCGAGCGGACTGCCAAGGCCCAGCAGAAGGAGCGCGAGAAGCAGAAGTGGGACACCATCAAGCGAGGCAATCGTCGCTCGCAGCTTGAGGCCGCCGCCGACGACATCCCCGAATTGTAGCAGCATTGCACAAACCCGCTGCACCAGCATTCATACTAGCTGCAACTCTGTCCCTGTTAGCCCACCGACCCACAATTACCCAACTCGCGCGCCTTGTCGCGTCGGCACAGTTTCGCCGCTCACCTGCGCGTCATGGGCGAAACACTCAAAATGTTGCACAACTGGCAGCAAAGCTGCGTTCACACGCACACTTGACACAGAACATATCCCCAGCAAGCTCGACACATGTTCCGCACAGCAGTCTTCCTACCGTTGGCCGTCACTCGCATCGGACCACGCCTGGCTGGACTGACACCCAAGTCAGCCGCGGGCATGAGCGCCGTGATCTGGCGGCGTGCCATGAGTAGCGGCGCAGGGTCGGCGGGTGGTGGTGCAGCCCGCGATGAGAGCGACAACGACAACAACGGCGACGACTTTGCACGAGACTCGGAGGGCAAGCCCATCTTTGAGGAGAGTGATTACTACATCCGCTACAGGGTTCCCAAATGGAACCACGATTGGATTGCGCGTGAGACGGAAGAGCTCATCGCCAAGGCGTACAAGCGGCATCACGCGCTCAACGATCACTCGGACAAGTACCCGATCCGGCCGTCGCGGGAGGAGCTTGAGTCCATCAAGCCGGTCAACCACTACAAGCCACAGAACGTGACTGACAAGATCGCCTTTTCTCTGGTGAGCATGCTCCGCCCGCTCACCCACATGTTCTTCCGTGATCGGTACCTTTCGCACGCGTGTGTACTCGAGACGGTGGCGGCGTGCCCCGGCATGGTCGCAGGCGCCTTCCGCCACATGCGCTCGCTGCGGACGATGACCCCCGACAAGGGTTGGGTCCCGCACCTCTGGGAGGAGGCCGAGAACGAGGCCGCGCACTTGATGACCTGGATGGCGGTCATCGAGCCGACCCGCCTCGAGCGGTTCCTTGTCGTCGCGGCGCAAGCTGTGTACGTCACCGCCTACGCTCTTATGTACGCCACTTCCCCGCGAATGGCCCATCGGTTCGTCGGCTATCTCGAGGAGGAGGCCATCTCGGCCTACACCCTTTTGCTCGAGTCGATCGACTCGGGCGCGCAGGCCGACGGCCCGGCCCCAGACTTTGCCAAAAAGTACTGGAACCTTCCCGATGACGCTACTCTCCGCGACGTTGTCCTCTACGTCCGCGCTGATGAGGCCCAGCACGCGCTCTTCAACCACCGTCTCTCCGAAATCATCGCCACCACCGGCGTCGACTCGGAGCTCGACGTACCTGGCGAGTATCCATCGACCGTCGATCTTCCGCCGGACCATCCTGATCGAGTCGCCATGCGTAGCTCGATCACCACCCCCCGCCCCCATCCCACATCTGAAGGCAACTAGCACCAAATGACTCGGGTAGCGTCGCCAAGTGAAAGCCATGTCTGCTGCTTGTTGGCCGAAAATGGAGCACCTGTCGTCCGCGACTCGCCCTCCGTTTAGGCCTCACTTCACCTGTCTCACTCGCGCCTACACCCTTCCGCCATGTTCTGCAGCTTGTGCTGCTGCAGGCGCAAGGCGGGGCATGTACCAGTCCTTGGCAATGTCAAAAAGTCGGCTGCGCTCGAGATGCTCGGACAGAATCGGTACCACCTAGCCCAACTGTTGGACGAGTCGGACGAGGTCTGGTGGGAGGCAAGCGTGTCGAGCTTGGGCGAGTCGCGAGAGGAAGAGAGCTGGAAGCATGTCAAGCTGCTCGCGCGTGGTCACACAGCCAAAGTCTACTGTGCGTGGAACAATGCCGAGTCCAAGGTCATCATCAAGGTCATGGATCTGCTGGTGACCCGCGGCGATGGCCGGGCCCGCCTCGATGCTGCCTTCCGCAACGAGATCCGGATGCTGCGGCGACTGGCAAGTGCGCCGCACATTGTGCGTCTCCGCGACGCCATTCCGCATCACGCCACAAACACCCTCGTGCTCGAGTACACCGGGGTGATGGAGCCGCTCAAGCGGGTGGAGAACGCGGACGAGGCCGCGATGTATCTGCGGATGCTGGTGGAGGCGCTGGATGCCTGCCACGCACGGCAGATTGTACACATGGATGTCAAGCCAGGCAACGTGCTAGTCAATCGCCAGCGCCGGCTCCTTCGGCTCATCGACTTTGGCTATGCTACGGTGTATCGGCACGGCAAGGCACAGACCACGTTCTCGGGCACTCCCACTTACAAAGCGCCTGAGCTTATCCTTCACGTCCCGATCTACGACTACGCCGTCGACATGTGGGCTGTCGGCGTCATGGCCGCACGGTTAGTTCTTGGCTCGGGCCTGTTCTCCGACGCCTTTGTCGCGCCGCGCGGCTCGGTCGACAGGCTCGAGCGGTATGCCCTCCTCATGGCGAGGATCACCGAGGTCCTCGGCCTCGACGACTACCAGGCCTGGCTGGACGAGCTCGGTGTGCCCGACAACGATGCGTGGGGCGTGGAGAGCCTGCAGCGACACGGCGCCCACAACCGGCAGCGCGTCGATTTTGCCGCCCACGCCGCCGCTGCTGCCAATGCCCACCCCACCGACGACGGCATCGACTTTGTCCACTCGCTGCTCCAGTATCCGGCGCGGGACCGGCTTACTTCGTACACGGCGCTACAACACCCGTTCCTTGGCGGAATGGGCCAAAGCTCAAGCTCAGACTCGGGCTCGACCTCCGGCTCGGGCTCGGGCTCGGGCTCGGGCTCGGGCTCGGACTCGACGTCGAGCTCTGGATGGAGCTCGGACTCGTACCTGTCGACGACGACTGAGTGAGGGGCATCGAACTGTAGCATCACCTGGTCGGAAAATAGAGCATCACCTGCTTTGCCCTTAACGGTACGATAAGTCGGACGCATTGTCGATGATGCTTGCCTTCCAGGTCACCGGCCGACGCTGCGCGACGCCTGATTGGCCTGCGGCTTGAGGTGGGAGGCGCGCCCGCACGTGATGGCGGCCGACACGTAGACGCCCACCTGAAGGATGCCCGACCTGGGAGCACGGGGCGAGGCGCGCGAGGTGCCGTACGGCACCGATCCGGAGGAGCGGCGGGCGCGGACGGTGCGGAGCTTGTCGTTGACGACCCCGACGACCCATGTCCGAGTGTATGTTTGTGTGTTTGTGTGTTTATGTGTGAGGGCGAGGACGGGGTGCAGTGCGCGCGAGTGCGCGAGTCGGAGACCAGCGACTCAACTTTGACCTCGCACTTCTGGAGCTCCGAGTTCTCCTGCTTGATCTCCAACTACAGCATGTACCGCTACATCTACATAAAGTCGAGGACAAAGTACTCGATCTCGATCTACTCGCAGACGCCCCCAACCCCCCCCCC